TGATGGAAAACCAGGCAAAATGTATCTGAATTCTTAGGAAAAGATAGTTAAAAGGGGATCCTTTGCTGAATGTTTATGCAGCTCTGGGACAATCCGTTTGCAGAATATCAGTTAAAATTTAAAGGCCTCTTTGGTGGGTTGGAAGATCTGTAGAAGATTCTCAGATGAGAAACTAAATGTCTTCAAAGAAAACATTTCTTTCTGAAGTCCAGTTGTTTCTTGAAAAAGCACTGTTGGGACATTAGTAACTGAGTTTAAACATACTTGGGGGGAAAAACACAGTCAACAAAAATTACAAGGAGTAAAATAAAGTATAAAATAATTATTGATAATTTATAACTCAGATGATTTACTCATCAAGCTTTCCCAACCATGGCCACTTTGAGACATGTGTACTTCAACTCCCAGAATTCTCCAGCTAGCTGACTGGGGAATTCTGGGAATTGAAGTCCACAGGTGACCGAGGTTAAGATACCCTGGTCTATATTGTCTCTCCAGAATTTTGGAAAAGAATTCTTCTTACTCTGTTTGCAGCTATGATTGCCTAAATTTAGGAACTTCAACATATGGTCATATCGTAAAAGAAGATATTAATTCCTATTATTCTTACTTTCCCATGATTGGGATGACAGACAGAAAACTCTTTTTATGGAAAAAGATTTTTTTAAAAAACAAAAACCTCTTGAACAAACTTCATTTTCTGCTCAAAATTTTAATTATCTTTCTTCTTCCATTGTTACAACTACATATTTTCAGCTTCTAATTTAATTATCCCTGGTTTTTTTGGATCAGCGTTGAAATTATACTATTTTTGCCCATAAATCTGTCCTGTGTTACAGGTTTTCATTCCAGAAACCAATCACCAAAAATAATTAAGCATCTTCCAAATACAACAGAATAAGGACATAAAATAAGCAGGGGAGTTTTGGTTGCAATTTATTTCCTTCTCATATTCTGTAATGGTATTTAAATTTTAGAGGTGACATAATAATCTCCTATATTTATGGCCATACAGAAAAAGCTAATTTGAAAATCCATATACTAATTTACATCGCCTACAAGAAGAGTCTAATGGAATGTAGTCAGTTTTGAACAAATCTAGGAATTAGTGCTTTTTCTGGCCAAAATAAAATATTTTTACACATTTTCTATTATTTTTTTAACCAAGTATGGATTTATGTATTAGCAAGTGAAATAAATAGATTCCTAAGACTGCATTTTGATGCATTCTTCTGGGATGACTGCATGTAATTAAAGTTAGTAAGTTATGCAAATGTACGAGCCCAAGTAAATTGAGTTGCCTAATGCAACCTCGTTTGAATGCATAACTCAAAAATGGGAACCTCTCATTCTTCCAATGTTGGATCCTACCATTGCTCACCAGGGCAGAAGCTGCAGTGAAATAAATTATTTGTTTTATTTAATAATCAAACCTACATCTTCCTACAATCTTGAGTAGGCTCTGGGCAGTTCACAAGATGAAACACAATATAAACACAACCACACATAACAATAGTAATATTTTTTTAAAAACACACAAAAATGTACAATGCAAACTATTAACCTCTCTCTGGAAAAGTAGCATTCTTAGCTGCTTTTGGAAGTATTCAGAAAAAATAATAACAGTTGGAAAGGACATTAGAGGTCTTCTATTCCAACCCCCCCGCTATACCATTTCCACTCTCCAAAGCACCTGAGGGCAAGAAAAGAAGCAATGGATGGAAACTGAAGGAAGAGAGAAGCAAGCTAGAACTAAGGAGAAACTTCCTGACAGTGAGGACAATTAACCAGTGGAACTACTTGCCACCAGAAGTTGTGAATGCTCCAACACTGGAAGCTTTTAAGAAGAGATTGGACAGCCACTTGGTTGAAATGGTACAAGATTTCCTGCTTAAGCAGGGGGTTGGACTAGAAGACCTCCAAGGTCCCTTCCAACTCTGCTATTCTGTTATTTCAGACAAATAGCTGTCTAGTCTCTTCTTAAAAATCTGCAACTTTTTCAGGCAAGTCGTTCCACAGATTGATTGTTCTCACTATCAGGAAATTCCTCCTACTTTTATTATTTTTATAAATAACTCAGAGCAACTGAAAGCAGAAGAAGAATATGTCCTTTTAGGATTAATATCTTATTCTCCCCCGCTACCCCAAAAAAACCTGTTGCAAAAAAATACAGTTGTAATGATCGTGCAAACGATCATGCCAACTAAAAATCAAGCAAGATCTGTTTAATTTGTGCATATCTGAAACTTCCATTTTATATTTTAAATTTTATATCCCATCGTATGCCTTATTTTAATTGTGATGCTTCTCATACGAATAAGCAAGCAAACTAAAAATAAGTAAGCTTATACTATTAAAAACAAAATCAGTTTACTTCTATGCTTGGCAATCATTAATGTGTATTTCAGAAAGAACGCCTTGTAAGCTAATACAGATCAAAATTAAGAGAATAAAATAAGAAGGAAAGATCTTTCTGGAAGCTTTAGAGTAACTTTCAACTTGTGTTTTGTTGGGTGGGTTTTCTTATTCATGTCTAAGTTAAATTTAGAAATGAAACCTTAGTGATAGATAAATGATAGATAAAATTATTCAGAAATTAATTAATGATATTTTAGGAAACCACAATCCTCAGGAGACTTTGTTTTACTCCATTATATCTTTCCACTCTTTCTTCCATGTGCTCTCTTTTGTTATTTTCTTCAAAGCAGTCAATAAATGAAAATGAAAACAAATCTGCATTTTTTAAAAAAGGATATCAGCTCCTTGATCTACTGTAAATTGAGAAGAACTGTAATCCCTATCTAGATGTAAATAAATATTATACAGTTTAGGCCTTGAAAGCTAATGAAAATATGTTTTCCGGGAAACCTTTGTAGTTAATTTAAACACCCCAGGTTGTATGAAATTATTTGTCTACAAAAGTTAACTTTCTGGCTTTTAAAGTATGTTGTCATCAGGGCTAAGTTTTAGATAAGTAGATGTTAGTTAGATGAAGGTGGCCACTTCATTCTCAGATCTCTGTCTCTCTGTCTCTGTCTCTCTGTCTCTCTCTGTCTCTGTCTCTCT